CCTCGATATGATTATGCCTCGCGTAAGCGGGTCTGCAAAGAAGCCACTCACACGGGACAACGTGACTGAATCTGGCAACCAGGGTGAGGAGAGGCTGTGAAACGATGTTTCTAGATGCTTAGTCACTACTCTTGTCGGTGTTGGAACGTTGTTTAGTTGATTTTGGTTGTTTCTGAGGTAAGAATGAATCTTGTTGTGTAGTAAGTTAGAGACTAAGAAGCCTTTGACCATGCCAACATGCAGTTCATTCATTAAATTGCAATCTTTGTGGAGTCAATGTATATTATTGCTACTTTGAGTACCATAATCTACGTTGATCTCACAACGCTTAAGCCGAACCTACTCGAACAATCCTATTCGGGGGGGATAGCTAATTCTTTTTGATAAGTCTCGCCATAGACTTCCAAAACATTTATGGGAAAACCAAACACCCAATCTCAAGTCGTTCGTCTAAAAGACAACAGACAATTACACCAAACTATATTTTACCATGTAAAGCTAACTTAAACCAAGTTAGAAATGGAAAAATAGTTTGGAACCCTTTTCTATAGGCATAAACCCCTGTAGTACCCCTTTTCAGCAATATCCACCCCTTAACTGGTAGTTGTAGCTGTTCCCAACCATAATAGCTTACACACCAGGTGCATATAGTTTAAGGCCTTATGTAAAATCCCCTTCATAAGCCCACCTTAAACCACATAATTGCATGACACATTGAACCAGAACGGCACAGGCTGGACGTCGCTGGAGACAACCTTCGCTGGAGGCGACCTGCAATCCTGACGTTGGTCTCAACTCTTCATCCAGTGGCCGCTTCTTCAGTTCAATCCAAGGGTACCCCTCTGTATGCTGATTAATCAACACTTCCAATCGCTGTGGATTTACCGTTGTGGATTATATGACTTTTTCCAATGGATTACAGACTCTGTTTCCAAGGGGTTAAAAGCATTGCTACAATGGAATTATCGAGACGATATGGGATTATAATCAACACAATGGAATACCAAGAACATTGTGGAATTACCTTGACTTTGTTTCCTTGCTGGATTACTTCTGACTTTGGTTATCCTTGCTGGATTACATCAAGCTCAAGGACACTTGAAGGTCTAAGTTCACGGTTGGAATTCATCCCCATGGACAGGTGATGATTTCCAAAGGGGGGACTGTAGTGAACCTGATCTGACCCTGATCTGACCCTGATGACCTCAAATCTATCAGATGGACAGAGACTGTTATTTTCATTGATCTGAATACAGTCTGAGCCATCTGGTGACTTTCTTTCTTGAATTAATCAAGCAGAAAAGACAATTCTCTATAATCATTACTGTTTACAAATGTTTGATAATCAAATTGTGTTAGTTCCATTCAATGCTTACAGGTTGGAAAGAACTACTCATTTTTATTTTACATAAACAGTAAGTAATGATTTTTATTCCTCATTCAAAGAAGAAATCAGGTTAATATGCATTTCTTGATTTTCTGTCTGAAATGAGCTAAGTTTTGTAAGTATGTGAAAGGTCGGTCTTCGGTCAACTAAAATGTTTACTGAAAAAGAAATGTCATGTTTAATCTTTACAGAAGATACAGAAGAGTTGACTCCACGAAGTCTGCTTTTCTGCAATAATCTCTCTGTCAGTTGTTGAACAATCTCATTCTCTGACCTTGGCTTAGATAACATCTTACGTCACAAAAACACACCTCTTTCTGGTACATCCACGAATCAGAAAGCTCTAAATTGAACCGGAAGTCGACCCATTTAAAATGTGGCAACTTCCCAGTTCAAGTCGGGTTTTTCAGTTTTTCAGAAGAGTCTGAGAGTCTGAGGGTCTGAGAGTCTGAGAGACTTAGACAATGAAGAGTTGCTGAGAGTAAAAGAATGAAAGGAGTTCAGAGTTCTTGGATGCAGAACGCGTTCAGGATGATCCAGAGACGTTTTGGAATTATAATTTCTGTTTGAACGACCCACGCACGACTCTCGAAGGATTTTAGCTGTTCTCAACGGAGACGCTGAAAAGAGTCTGAAGGATTCTTACTGAGCCGATTATCGTCGACCAGGTAAAGGTTTCTTCTTCGACCAAGTGTACCGTGGGCAAGCTGAGATCTGATGGAGCGTGCAATTTCTGGTCAACAGATATTAATTTCCTCACATATTTCCCTGTAAGATAAATCTCCATTTCATCTTAAACTCTCCTCTTTCTCATAAAATCAGTACAGATATTTTAGAAATATCTGAAGCAAAGTCCTCAAATCACCGCCGAGTGATTTGAAGTTCATTATTTGTGAAACTTGTCTGTTATTATTTTCATATTTTGCCAAATTAATGTAAATGTTTGATGTTAAACTTTGATTCTGAAAATAAATGACCGCATTGATTTGATGGGTCAAAGATAAATAACGTCTCTCGTTACATTTCTGTTAATTTCAAGGCACGACATTACACAGTCAGAAAGATGAGGAACTCGTGAAATTGTATGCATATATCTCATATATTTGTCATACTACAAAACTAAATATTACAATTTTTGTCCAAAAGTTTTTAACAGAGAAAACACTTCTGAAAGATTTTTTTTTGTTTTGCTTGTTTTGCAATAGCAATTTATACTCCTCATAATTGTACACTGCAAAAAAAATCAAAGTTTATAACAAATAGAATGCTTTTGTCCTTTCACAAAAAGGACTGAAACATCACTTTAATTATTATGACTGTGCAAACTGGAGGCATAGGGCTACAAAGGAAAGGGAGGACACGATATAGGACTTGCCCTTAGTATAGACAGCTTTGACTGAGGTCATCAGTCGGTGCCATGCTGGAAGACAGAAAAAAGCACAGTAACAAAAAAAAAACTTGGATCAAGAGTTTTATCTGCAAGCAACATTTATTTACTGAAAATGGGAAAAAGTAGAGCTCCAGCTAGCACCAGAACAAGAATGGAAAAAGTGTGTAAAGAAGATGAATGGATGAATGATGGATGGATGAGTTAGCACTCAACCTGAACTGCTAGAGTTAGAAACCAAGGTACAAGACTGTAATTAATACGGTTTGCTTGTCAGTACAACCGTTTCTAGAAGGGTACAGTGTGGTACTCTGAACAAGTATAGTTTAGTTGATTTTTGTAAGGTACAAAACTATCCCTTAGAGTTTAAAAAACTATACCTTAAGAGTTCTAAAAATATACCATTAAAGATACAAACAAAATGTGCAACAGTGAACCATTGTCCTCTAAGTACAGCTGGAGATTCAAAATCAATGACACCTTTTGGGTACATTCCTGTACCTTGATTTCTAACTGTTTTATGTTGTTTTAGAAATTATCTTTGTAGTTAGCAATTGAGTTGCTGGACTCGACCAAAATAATTTATTCTTGCATCTCACTTATGTTGCTTTAAGTGCGGTCTGCTGCAGGGAAGACACTTACTGCTGGTGAGTATCCCACACAACTCCCATTTCCAAAACACCTAAACCATCAATCCAGTTCTGACCACGAAACCAAAATTTTCTTTTAACTCGTTAAGCTTTTGGATTTTTCAAGTAAGAGATCCGTTTATATATACTCTGAATGCAAAACAAGTAAAATAAGTTTACTTTGAAAAATAGTATTAATAACTTCAGCTTAAAAAAAAAAGTGTGACATTTGAATCTAACATCTCTGTATTACTGTTACGTCCTGGCTCGTTTTGGATGCAACATAAATGACATGACAAAAGGTTTGTGACAAAAAAATTAAAACAAAATGTGACGATTTATTTTTGGCTGAGTTAACAAATACTAAACAAAAACACAACAATAGCTGGCGTTCTGCACACAACTTAAGTAAAAACAACAAGAATACCTCCTTGTTCTGAACAATGACTCAGCTTCTTGAAAACAAAAAAAATGAAACATCCAAACCAAACAAAATCCAGAAACCCAACTAACAATGATCAAACTAACAAGTGGCTCCACAATGAGAATGAAATCCCCAACCAAACAAATGTGTCTTTGCTACCAGTCTTTCAGAACCAATAAGACAAAGAAAGACATCTGGACAATCATCTGTGGACAGGTGAGTCTTGAAGGCTTTGTCAAAAGTCCACCAGTAGAGGGAGGCAGCGAGCCAGCAGCAACCAGGCATTACAGAAAAGAAAACTGCAAAACTACAAAAGAAGAAAGGCAGCACAGGCCTGAGGCCGAAACACCCATCCCCTTAAAACAAAAGCCCATATAATGTTGCTGTTTCTTAGTGCATGACTGTTAGCCATTACAATATAGTTCTGTCTAAACTTTATTTCAGTAAAACAAAACAAATCACTGACTCATGCAGCTCGGAGCACTATACTTCCTCGTGGAAGCTGCGTATTTCTAATTTTATTCAGCCTTTTAAAGGAATCATTTCAGAAGAGCTTCATCCTCCTTTAATTCAGACTGTGAGTGGAAGAAAGGTTAGGAGAAGCCAAAAAGCTTTTTGATTTCTTTTTCTTTTTTTTTTTGCATCCTCTTAGTCTGATTGTAAAGGTCAACAAAGGTCGCCCTAACTTTAATGCTGCAAAGGAAACTAAAAAAGAAAAGGGAACTAAACGTAGTTCTCGGAAAAAATCCTCAACAAAGAGATTTACGTTAAAAGTGCCAAATAAATGTTCCAAATTAGTGTCATTAGAATATATAATATTAAAAAGGTTTGAATAAAAACAATGTACAAAGTAACATCTCTTCCAGACACAGACTTGAAACTGTTCAGAAGTGAAGAATCGTGTCAGGACTGAACTGAAGAGGGAGGAGAGAACACTTCTCTGTTTATTTCTACTTTTCTCTTCTTTATTTTACAAACCCCCAAACAAGACTAGGACTGGCTATTTCTGCTGCCTGCTCCTATGTTTACTATATCATGATATTTTAATCATGCAGTCTTTGCTGATTAACACATTTATCAGCAAATAATAACCATGACAAAATGATAATACTCAAAGGTACAACAAAAGAGAACCTGAAGTTGTGAGTCTTTCGTTCAGTCATTTCTTGTTCTCTACACAGACGTCTCTGACTGAAGCTTCATCACAAACTTGTGGCTTTTAGGATCAACAAACTCCTCGCCCACGCGCAGGAAGGGGAGGGGCATAACGGTGACGACCAGGGCGAAGTCGAGGCGTTTTAGGCAGAAGACCTGGCCCTGACGCAGGGAGGCCGTCACTGGCTCCTCGCTCACTAGTGTCCACTGACCACCCCTGCTGTTGTCCAGGTACTGCAGAGTGGGACCAGGACTGAGGTAGCGCTCCAGGAAAGCCTTTGGAGACAAAGAAGAACGTTTAAACCCTCAAAACAAAGTTAAAGAACTTTCTTCACTGAAGCAACTCCTAATAAGAAACATAAAAGCACAAAAAAAAACAATTTTATTTTATTTTGAAGATAACTTTTGAAACTGTGCATTCTGGGACTTTTTTTCTTCTTACTTGTTTGAATCAACTAAAAAATAACAGCAGTGTGGCTGATTATGAATTTACATCATATAAAAACTTCCTTCAACGAGGCCCAATAATAAAAAATCATGACTTTTTGTAAAAAATCTAAGACGACAAAATGAGTTAGGGGTTATCAACAAAATCATGTCCAAGGAACAAAATTCTCCTAATCAAACATAATAATAATAATAATAATAATAATAATAATAATAATATAGAATTGTTCTTATGAATCAAGAATGTATTTCAACTTTAGGGGTTTACACGCAGCATTTGTGTTTAGTCAGCATACATGTGGCTCATTTGGTGACTATTGTCCTACGATTTCATGTAGAAAGGTTCAAGTTTCTTTATTGTCATTTGCATCACATGTGGTACATGAGGTGGAACAAAATTGTGTACTCAATGTCTAAATAATACCCCAAAATAGCAAAAATATAAAGTATAAAAAAAGAAACAGTATAGGATCTAAAATGGGGGAGTGGTGGCGCAGAGGTTAGAGAGGTGGGCTTGTGATCCGAAGATCTTCACGCCCCGGCCCCGACAACATCAAAATTGTGGGTGGGGTAGGTGAAACACCCACACCTGCCCCCACCCTCATTCGCCCCACTCTGGGCCCATGAGCAAGGCCCTTAACCCCCACCATGTGCTCCCTAAACAGGTCTCTCTTGAAAATGAGTTCTCGTGGCTCAATGAGACTAACCTGGATAAATAAAGGCTAAAAAAAAAAAATATACCCTAAAAACTTATAATGTAAAATAATACGGTGTATTAAACAGCAGCCTGAACATGAGTCTGTTGTGAGCAGATGGGTATGAATACAGCAGCTGTAGAAAACTGTACAAGTGTGTAATGATTCATGTTTCATGTCATGCCAGGTCCATGGATGTATTTTCTGCTTGCCCTGCTAAACTCCACTCATCAGCTTCACTCAGCTCACCTGTGTCACTCCCAGTCTCCCTCCTGCTGCACCTCCCTGACAGATTGTCTGATCGCCTCTTGTCTCAAGAAATCTACAAGTTCCTGCTCTCGCTCTTTTTACTGACCCCACTTCATCACCACGGACTCCTCTCTTTTTGCCTTGTACATGACAGATAACTTCAGCCCATTAGATATCTGGACCTCGACTCTCACTCTGCCTTCTGACCACCGATTCTTGCTCAACCCCTCTGATAAGTATCACCTTCTCTGCCTCTCTGTGAATGACCCATGTCTGTATTTGACCATGATCTCAGACCCCCGGAGTTGTGAGTTTCCAGAACTAAGCTCCATGAAATGAATAGGAGTGTTTGTTGGACCTTCCAGGTTACACTCAAATATCACGTGATCTGGCTGAACCTACATCCCTCCTAACCTCCCTTCCCTCTGACATCATTACAGCGACTGCATCTCCACCATGATCAGACTCTGCAGGCTAGCGCTTCAGAACCTCTCACGTTCTCCAGATAATCCCAGTCTCCAACCTGTTCTCTCTCCCTGCAGAGTTTCAGCTGATTTCTCCTTCAGGAGTTTCTCTCCTGACAAATTTTCAGTAAATCTTTTCGTTCACTCCTGTGTGGTGGAATTTCCGGGTCCCCCTCGTGATTCGTTACAGAAGTGTAAAGAGAAACTACTTTAAAAAGAAATGTTAAAGCTGCTTCCTGTAAGGCAGCCATAACCACATAACGTGTCTGTCACTCCCTGATAGCACTCTCAAAGACACGAGCAGCCAGAAACACAGGATTAGAAACAAAAGGCAACTATGCAAAAACTAGTCTCCAAAGAAACTCCTGACATGTGAGTGGCAGAAGCATCTGGTTGTTAATCATGTACATTTTTATGTTGGAAATAAGATGTTGCACTTCCAGTTTTAAAGAGTAAACTATGATCTCAGATAGAATGAATGTGTGCTCTTCACACGCTTGACATTTGTGAGAAAATACAAAACACACAAACAGTACGTCCTATAGCAGTGAGACACAGGGTGGGGAAAAACAGAATGCCCACATTTCTTGAAGTTTGAGGGAATACATATGAGTTTGCAAAGACTCCAACATTTAGACAGCTGTAAAATTGGTGCGCAACGTTATCACACTTGACTCATCATTGAACCTTTTGTGGTAAGATACAACTCAAACTACGATTCAGTCATGTAAAGCCCAATATTTAGTGATCCACAGAAACATTTAATGTTTACAATGTGAACTATGACTTTTTTATTTGCAGGAGAAAATATTTCACACAAAGCATTTCATTGAGGACAACAAAGATAATGTTACTAACAGATTTGCATTTACATCTATGTTAGATTTATTGTTCTGAATAAAGTTTTTACAAGGCAATAGTCTATGCTAGGTTATCTAAACATTAGCGTGCTAACTTGAAAGGCATTTTGCTCATGACAAGTGACTTGGAAGATTGAAGAGAATTTGTTTTGTTTTACAGATCAGTTAAAATAAACTTACCATGCTCTGTTCAGTAAAATACACTAGTACACAGTACTGCTCATTGCTTCGTCTGTGCTGAAAGTGAAACTTAAGTGAACGGTCATGACTTGAAAGTAGTCTTCATGCACCCTCTACTGGATATATTGTACAATTACAACTTGGTCAAGCATTTTAGAGATGAAAATTAGAAGTGTTTATATCGCCGCATAATGAGACAATTATCACAGGCTACTGATATATCCTCAAACTAGAGTTGCACTCGGGTCCATGTAATCCGAACTGACACAGCCCCAGTCCACAGCCATCATCTCCAAGCCCCACCCGATCCGATGAATTAAAAGTAATTACAGGTCCGAACCCGAAAAACACACAACATTTTTGATTAATCTTTGACTGCTTATACCACCGACTATTATTAATGGTCGGCGGACATGCTTTTGACTGCATTGGACCCTTCTCTGACATGTCAGATATTTTGTGATGTCACCTGTTTGGGTCGTCGGCCGCGCGTGGTCACTGAGTGCAGCGGCTGAATGAATGTCCATTTGGGCTGATGGATAGCTGGCAGTAGTCCATCTGAAACATAACTGAACTTTTTTACCTCTTTCAACCAGCTGGTCAGCGTGCGGTCAAATGGCCGAGTACGGCAGGTGTAGTATGGCAAGCCATGTTTGCATAAGTTGGATCGTCAGCCGCATGCGTCGCTGACGCAATAAAAAGCCCGACACCGACCCGGCCCACACATTAAGCATATTATTATGGCCTGGCCCGGTCTGAATCCGGGTCGGGCGGGGCCAGGCTCCGGGTTCGGGTTAGAAACGATAGCTCTATCCCAAACATCTATATTAACCTAAAATATCGGCCTTACCAATATATCAGTCACACTGTAATAAGTTCATTACAACACATAAATTTATATCACATGGATAACAAGTATCAAAAATAAAATAATTCAGTCTAAAAAAGCCTCCTAACCTTGGGGGTCATGCTGTGCATGATGCAGAACTGCAGATGGTTGATGATGCTCTCCATGCTGTGATAGCACTGCTGCCTGGTGGCCCGCAGGTACTTCTGCATGGCCCGTGCCATGGGGGCAAAGATGGCCTGGGCGGCCTCCCTGGGGTCCATCACCTCCCGCGGGTGTTTGGGAGAGGATGCAAGTGATTCTTCAGTCTGGTGACGCTTGATGTGGGTGAAGGCTTCTTCTACTGCCACCACCAGTCTGTAAAGGACACAAGGCAGCACATTTGTATATATATATTTAAAAATACTTTACACAAAAAACTGAATAAAAGCTATGTATAACATGAAACAAACAATCAAAAATATTTCAGCTCGTAGCCATATTTGAATCAAAGACCCTCTAGTTCATTAACAGGATAGTTTATGAATAATTTGACCACTTGGTGAATTAAATAGGGTTTCTGTTAGTTTTGAACAGAAGATCAACCAAATATTCCTTCCAACTTGTTGAATATTCCCTTTGAACCCATCCCAGTTAATACATAAACAGTATCAGTAAAGTATTTCACGCAATTCAAGAAGAATTACCATTAGAGATTACCTGGCCCTCCGTTTGCGGATCCTCCTCTCCACCTCTGCCTCCTCGTAGTAAAACTCGTTGTGGACGTTGTCTCTTCGTCGAGAAGTGGCTGCAATCATGGCTCTGGACTGCCCTGTGGAGTTGTTGGTGCTGTTCTCTGTGGAAAAAAACCACTGAAGGTAAAAATAAAGCCATCCTCCCTCTTGCAGTTCTGGTGTTTTATGTGTCAGGGCATAATAAAAATGATCTGGTCTTTTCAGGTTACTCACATCTAACCACAAGTGTACAGAAACACAACATATGCAAATGTCCCACCATGACTGATTCAACAAAACACAACCAGCAAGGAACAACTAAATCTACTTTTGCTGTGTTTCTATGATTTGATGATAGTTTCATTGAGCCACAATAACTCATTTACAAGAGGAACCTGTTTCCTGCCCTGGAGCATACAAATGTGTGTTAACACAATGACATAGAAAGAACATCAGCAATGACCTTAAAGAAGCAGCTATTGCTGCCCATCAGTCTGAGAATGATTAAATATATTTTCCAAACACTTTGGACTCCATCATTCTACTGTTAAAAAAAACTGTTCACTACTGAACAACATTTAAGACAGCCTAGCATATAATCCTGAGGTCATACTACGCAGTACTCAGACAAACTGAAAAACACAAGAGCTCAATTTTGTCTGAGAAAAATGTTCTCGCTTTATCTCACTTACTCAAAAGAAGCCACACTCGATGGCAGGAGAAGATATTTAACTGGTTTTTACTTGCAAGGACAGATTTTCAGGACAGATTACAAAGATATACAGGAAGTACACACATGCAGACCAGTCATGAGAATCTGAATGAGCAGTATTGGATTTGGTACCCCTGTGATGGACTTGCGACCCGTCCAGGGTGTACCCCGCCCCTCGCACAGTGATTGCTGGACATGGGCACCAGCGACCCCCGTGACCCAAAATGGAATAAATGGGTAAAGATAATGGATGGATGGATGGATGGATTTGGTACCTGGATGATTGAGCATGAACTTTTGATGATTCTCAGCCATAGTAGTTAAAAACATCCATAAACTTTGACATAAATTCCCTAACACATTTCAGACCTAAAGGCCTCACTTGGCGAGTTTATGACAGTACAGTTAGAACAAGACTGAACAAGAGTGGCTTATTTAAAAGGGTTGCAGGAAGAAGTTTCTTGTCTCTTGAAGGAACAAGCCTTAAATAAACCACAAGACTTCTGAAGTCCTTTCAAAGTAGAGATGTTTCCCCATAATGCACAACACCATGTTCAAAATAACAGCAGAGCCCGTGTAGAAGATGTGAGTGAGAAAAATGAGGGTGATGCTTGTTCCTAACTTTACTACACTTGTTTTATTTTGTAAAGTTACGGGCAGCAGGCCAGCTCACCGACTAATAACAGACTGATTAATGTCTTCACCCTTTTATAATCCGAACTCGTCCACTGAAGTAAAACTGGGTTAATTACACAAACTTGTGTACTTTAATCCACTGACCAAATAAGGAAATGGTTGAATTAAGTCTTTTTAAATTTTATTACAAAAATACTAGCACAAGCACCTAATACTGAGTGCACAGCGGAGGGCTGATGATTTTGTCTGATGATATGGTGGAATCTATTGTGTTTTTGTACACGAGGTTAGGTTTGAGTATTTTTCGAACCTGGGGAAGATCGTATAGTTTTATTATGTTGTATGATCAAGCAATGGGGCTTTTTCAGTCCCGAATGCTAATACCAGCTTCCCAGTAACTCTGGAAATCAGAGAAAAGTATACTTTCTGTCATCTCTGAATGGGACTCTGCCTGCCACCAAAGGCACTAAGTTCTGTGCATTTTGTATGACTGAAATCTCGCCTGAATCTCCTGGAATTTCAGGATTTCCTCAGGGAAAAACCACAGAAAACTGAACGTTACATTTGATCTTTGCTAATAAATCCTTAAAGATGCAGTAAGAATGGTCCAGAATGAAGAATCCTTTCTAAAAGCTCGTCACTGCACCACAGCGAAACAGAATTAACAACTGTCTAAAAGCAGTGCAGGTGAACAACATTATGACCCATTTGAGTTGTTACTGAACTGTCATTCAATATAAGCAACAGATCAGAGCATTAACGGTTAATCATCAGAACTACACGATGTTCCCAGTTAACCCTCTATGTTTGCTGTATTTAGTAGTGCAATAGAAACTGTGCTGACACAGAGAAAATACCTTCTTCCAGATTGTAAACTTTGAAGGAAGACAGCTTCTTGTTGAGAATGGACTTGGGGAGGTTGAGCAGAGCAGGATTATAGACCGGGAAGTCTTTGTAGTACTGGTCCAGAACACACACTGCTGCCCGCTGGATACTGCAGAGCGTTAGGAGGAAGAAAGGTGCAGTGAACTGCAAGCACAGCTGTTATTATAAGCATGCACACGTTCACTGCTACACAAAGGAACTGGTGAACTAGATAACGACAAAAACCAACACCTCTAGGTGAAGCGAGTGAAAAAAGAAATCTTTGCTGCATTTGGTCATTGAACGGAAACTAAATGAGCCACACTTAGAACAACTAAAACACTAACAACCTTTTATATTTATAGTTTTATGTTTATAAAAATATATATAATTCTTATTTATATTTATGTTCAAATTACTGTGCTGTTGTACAAAGACAGATAAAATGTCTCCTAGCAGAAAGTTTTTCCCTCTGACCTACATCTGGTTGAGAGAAAGCTTTCAGTTGTTTTGTTGGACTGTTCATTCTGTCGGGGTTTGTCTCCACATTTAAACCTTCTAAAATCAAAAGCAGCAGCACCTACACAATCATCACTTCTTCTTTTCACACCCATTCATTCTGCTCTCGCTCTCGTGCAAGGCGGACGCCTCCTCTCCCTCTCCTGTTCTCCTCCTGCTTTTTATTGCTCTCTGTCCATATCGGAGCTCCTGTTACACATCTTCCAAAATTAAAACTACTGTCATGGATCTTGTCAGCAGGACTTTCAACGCAATTGACAAAATATTTTCAACAAAGCAACAGTGTCCTGGAGAGCCCTCATGCCCCGCTAAGACTCACGTGGCAGGACACGTCATGGCTCCGTGGGGAGTTTGGGTCTGATGTGTCTTTTTGTGTTGTCTCAGGAGGACGCCGAAGACGTCTATATAATTGGATTCATGATAACAGGGTTTCTGCTGTCTGGCATCGGTGAATTCCTGTGTTATCGGCTATTAAGAAAGACAGCAGCAGCACTTTTGGCAATGGCAAAACTGTTGAGTCTGTGTGAGGTTTGGTTCATGCTTCAAATACTCAATATCAGCTGATTTACAAGCTAAACCATAAGACGGAAGCGATTTGCGAGAATCACAGGCCACCTGCGGCTTCTGGGACTCGCCAGCATGTCGGAGACAACCTTGCATGATGTTCATAGCTCGGATTAGTGGAATGCACATAAATCTGGCCGTTCTGGATCTTGAAAGTACCAGCAGGACTCAAGGCTGACAAGAAAAAAACAGTCTGCCTGAAAAAAAATCAACAATTGTGGCTTATCTGAATCTGCCTCCCCCAGTTGGCTTCGAAAACAGGCCGACATCAAATTTCTCCAGGGGTGATATGTGTAAACTAAGGAAAAGCTTCATCTATAAAACTCCCCCCACCACCCCCTGATAACTTCTGTGAAGGCTTATCAGAACTGTGCCAGCTGACACCAACATCTTATCAGGACTATGGACTATCTGGAAGTGCTTCATGGACAAATCTCACTGTCCTATCCTTATGGATTTTTCCCCTTTTCTATCTAAAACAGTATTCTGAAAAAGGATAAGGGGCCGCGCTCCAATAGCAGCAGCAACGTGCACTCTGCCCATCTTTCGGACGACTGTACGAACATAATCTCACTGTATTTCAGTACAATGATAATAAAGCTTATTTTGATTCTGATTCACCTAGGTAAATGTCTGACTGGGAAATAAAGGTAGGTGCTAGTCTTTTTATAACTTTAGTGAGACCTAGATAGTAATGAAGAAACTTGGAAGATAAAGAACGTTGCTGTGGAAAATCTCCTACAGAACTCACTTGTGTAATAAACTAAGCTGACAAAATACGGACGTTTGATGTAAAATCTGTTAACTAAGAAGTTTAAAAACACAAGAGAAAAAGAATTGTTAAAGCTGATGACTCTCTTTTCCTGACAGCAACCTTCAGCCAGGCTGACAGAAATGTAGACTGCAAAGTAAACCTTAGACATCTGAGGCTTAAATCGGAAACATCTGATTTTAACACATGCAAGTTTTTATATGGAGTTTGCATGTTCTCTCTGTGCATGCGTAGGTTTTCTTTGGGTACTCCAGTTTCCTCCCACAGACCAAAAACATGCATGTTAGGCTGATTGATAACTCTAAATTGTCTCTAGGTGTGACTGAGAGAGTGAATGGTTGCTTGTCCTGTTTGTTTCTATGTGTCCCTGTGATGGACTGGAGACCTGTCCAGGTTGTTCCAAGCCTCTGGATGGATGGATGGATGGATGGATGGATGGATGGATGGATGGATGGATGGATGTGATAAGTTAAAAAAAACCTTAACTTCCAGTTTTGAAGACAGTGGAAACAACAGAAGTCAGTGAGAGTTTGTCTGTTTGCATTCTGCCGGTGGGGTGGATGAGATTAAAAAAAAAATTTTTTTAGTTTTTAATGTAAAGAGTATATAAGAAGTGTAAAAGACTGTTATAAAAATTGCCAAAGTGTTGAAAAGTTTAGACGGCTCTAAAGTTATTACGTGACATAATCATACTTTTAAAATTATCTCAAAATGAATTCAACTTAAACTCTGATTGTGTAGAAAGTGTATATCAAGATGTTAGTTGTTTTGTGTAAAGTTCAACGTGCTGTGGCCAGTTTAAGGCTTCAACATGCTTTGTTCTTGTGTAAAACTTCCCTGCAATCTTGTTCATAGGCATGTGTTCAAACTGTGTTTGGGTCAACTGCACCACAAAATGTAACCAATGTGTCTTTGGTTTCATAAATCAGTGGTTCCCAACTGTGGTCCTTGAGGAACACCATCCTGCATGTTTTAGTTGTTTTCCTGCTTTGGTTTGAATGAATGGGTGATTAACAGTCTTCTGCTGAACCTGATAAAGTAATTAAATCTCTGAATCAGGTGTGTTGGAGCAGGGAAACAACTAAAGTATGCAGGGTAGAGTTCTTCAAGAACCATGGCTGGAAACCACTGGTCTAGACCAATATGTTTCATATATTAGGATAAACAGGTGGCAATAATGTACTTTGACAAGTATCTTTCCAAAAAAAAGCGAAATCTAACTAATTTCTCGACAGGAACTCAACACAATTAGTGTGACTTTAAGTCCATGAGTGACGGTTTTTACAAATGTTGGTAGCAAATCTCTTCAAACAGTATGTCATCAGAACAGGCAACCATGTTTTTCTTGTGCGTATGAACATACTTAGTCTTCATCTGTTATGCTTTGGGCACCATCTTTTTAGTTAAAAGTTTATCATTATAACTTATAAAATATTTAAGGATTATGGCCTGCACATGATGGGACTTGATGGACATTTGCGAGCTGCTACAGATTAGCAGCAACATCTGAGTCGTCTGTTTCTATATTTGGAGCTACGCTGACGTACTGCAGCTGAGCAATTTTAACCAAATGGCATTTTTCATTTTCTAGATTTACTGAATTTGACTAATGTTGAAATAAATTAGAATTTATACATTTTAAGGGATGTATATATATATATATATATATATATATATAACTTATATTTTATTGACATTTTCTTAGAACAATTAGTCTAGAAGTATAATATACATACATCCTAAACAATGGTTAATTTTCCAGAGTTCTTGTTATCCAGTTGTTAAGGTGGTGTATTCTTTCTATAATGAGTCCATTTTTCATTAAATTGCACCTCTTGCAGTGAGTTTTTCCACTGAAAATATCTCTTCCACAGTCACCACTCCACAGTCAGTGGATCCACTTTATGCCACGTTCTTGTGATGGCTTTTTAAATTGCTGTTAACAATATTTTAATAAAGTATTCATCATCTTTTTGTATTATGTTGTGTGTAAGATTTCCAAATAAGATGTAAATTTAATTAGCTGGAATGAACTCAACTGAATCAGATTGTGTGTAATTGATTTTGTACCTAAATTTGCGTGTTGTATCGAAGCAAACTTGAATTAAACTTGAATTAAAATTAATAACTGAACTGCATGAAGTCAAAATTTAATTGGGACAATTTAATTATTTTAAATGTTCTTATTTTGTGTCCTGAGATGACTTTGTGTGTGTGTAGTTGGTTCATATAATGAAACATCCATCCATCAATCCACCCAGCAGTCACTGCGAGAGGCAGGGGACACCTGGACAGGTCTCCAGTCCATCACAGGGACACATAGAGACAAACGAGACAACCATTCACTCTCTCGCTTACATCTAGAGACAATTTAGAGTTACCAATCAGCCTAACATGCATGTTTTTGGTCTGTGGGAGGAAACTGGAGTACCTGGAGAAAACACACACATACCATACCACTTTATTTATAGAGCACTTAAAACAGCGACAAGGCCAACCAAAGTGCTGTACAGACAGAAGAACAGGTAACACACGAAGCAATATACAAAATGAGGTAAATCAGAATATAGACATAAAAACGATGCAGATAATGATGACAAACCAGTGTGGAGCATACAGGATCAAAACACAGATCATCTGGTGTTGAAAGCTACTGAATAGTAGTGGGTTTTTAAACGGGACTTGAAAACCGAGAGGGAGGGGAGAGAACATGCACAGAGAGAACATGCAAACTCCACACAGAAAGACACCTGGCTGGGATCTGAACTAGGGATGCACCAATCCACTTTTTCCACTTCCGATACCGATATCTGAGGTTTAGTATCAGCCGATACCAGTCCGATACCGATCCGATATCGATCGATACAGAAAAACAGTGCTGAACTCTGTTCAACAATCTCAGCGTGCTCTTTAGGGTGAAATCTCTGGAGATGCTTGATTAAGTTGGTAGTGTTATAACTGGAAGATTTAGTGACAGTCCCTGGAACCATCACTGTGCACGTATTGCACGTAGCTGTTGAATGTGTTGGCTGTAGTGTGAAATAGTTACAGATGGCTGATCCTTTCTCTCTCTACATTTTGAAAACAATCTATGTGGTGAGTCCACTAGCGCGTGATGTCACTCAGTGCACAAAGCAAAGAATTAGAGTGAACAGATCTGCCCAGTCATGGATCGGTCACATTGTCACCGATACCCGATCCAGAATTTTTTTATATTGGGACCGATACTGATATTGGTACGGATCGGTGCATCTCTAATTTGAACCAGCAACCTTCTTGCTGCGAGACAACAGCTCTACTAACTGTGCCACCTAAAGAAACATTCCTGTTCATAAATAAGGTAAACCAGCAGTATATGTTGAGGAAAAAGGACATTCCTAAGTTTGATCGTGCACTAACCTGAGATGTCCCAGGTTATAGAAGCGGCTGATTCCATCGGTGGTCCGAACAACTTTCAGACAGAAAGCAGGCTGCAGGTGTCGGACTTCCAACAGCACCAGAGCAAGATACTGAATGAAGAGTAGCGCGTCCACCAAAGATGCTGCATATCCCACAATCCCCCTGTAGTCCGTCTCTCTGGGCTCCAGCACCCGCACCCCATAGAAGAGCCAATAAGATGCCACAAAGAGAAAGACGAGCACCGACAACAAACAGCGGAAGACAAAGAAGCGAGGCAGCATGGCTCGGGGAGGACGAAGGAACAGTGCCCATGTGGAGATGAAGAGAATGAGGATCTTGAAGGCCAGAGAAATGTAAAGGCCTTCACATGGAGTCCCACAAGGGTCAAGTGTGTCCCTCCAAAGGAGCTGTGGGAGGGCCAAGAAAGCCAGAGGAGTGATCACAGAAAAAAGCCCCAAAATGGCACCAAACACTGGACTGATGTAACGTCGGCAGTCAACAGGTAAAGAGTCGTCCAAGTCCTTAGAGAGCCTCGTCAGGTCTTCATTAGAGACGCTGTCCACTGAGGTACCGGTGACCACAGTGGTGGTCTCAGCCCAGTTATCATCCTGCAGGAAGACAGGAACAATATGGCTGTTGGTGATGCTGGGAGGCAGAGAGGGTTGAGACAAATGAATAGGTAAATGAAACTGACCCTCTCGTCGGCCATGGTGGACTCTGCATCTAGCAGTGGCTCCCCCGGGGCCTGGATGATCACGGATTTGTCTCCACGGCTGGCCCCGTCCCGACTCTTCGAGTAATGCCTGTCCCTTCTCCCTCTGGGGAGACAATAGAACAAAAACACGTGAAAAAGTCTGAATAAAATAATCATCCACAGGTAAACAAATAGTTTTATTATAAATCAAATTCTTGATGACAACGTTCCAGTTCATCTTTGATAGAAACACTGAAAACATCTGACAAAACAAACTGTAAATCTCAAGTTAAACAGAACCAGATCCTTTCTTTAAATGTACCACAAATGGTTCTAACACCATTAATATATAACTGCTACATGTACGATTATAGAATAATGTTTTATGTGACTGATTATAAGAATATTTGATGCTTTGGTATGTGATTAACATATAATATTATACTGTGTTTTCAAAAGCACATCATACTGGTGAATCTAAACACAGCAACCACACAAGTACATTTATTTCTGTTTGCTTGTTTGTTGTTTTTCATAAAGTAATGTACTTTGTGTAAAAAAAGGTGCTTTATAAATAAAGTTTGATTGACTGAGATGAAAAGTAAAAAAGGTCAAATTTAAAAATAGAAAAAAAATTCTAAACCTGAGGGTACATCTAAATTGATGGTTTTATAGTTTAGTTTAAAAAAAAAGCAACACAACATGAAAATCCACAGCAGGTCAAGTACAATATTAAAACATAAAATTACAGCATTTTGTCTTTCATCCAAAACACTTCTTCAGTCTGAGGCCTGCTAACCCAGATCTGTTCCATAAATAGCACCTCCTTGATATGTTTCAAGGCAGTCCTCTGTGGAATCCATAGAAACTAGCTTTACACATGCAACAAAGGGACCATCCATCCAAAACAATCAATCAGCTATGTATAACTACTTTTCCACTATGGGAGTATGCTGTTGTGGGAATCAGTTTGTCTGGTGGCTCCTCAGATCGAAGAAGTCCTTTGGATGAAGGACAAAACATCTCAGCTTAAAAAAGAAACATCCAGATGACCTGACTGAACATTGTTGGAGTTTATACCTGGATTATTGAGCATGAACTTTGGCACTTTGGCTTTGGTGTCCTCAGGCTGTTTCTGTGAGTAGCATGTTGGCAATCTGGACTAAAACATTTCATTGTTCTACATTATGATTGACTGTTTTAGATGGGTGTGTTTTCCACGTGTTGAAAGCATACTTCTGAGATTCCAACAGGAGGTTTTCTTGAAACACAGCAGTGAAGGCTACCTATGGGACAGATCTGGTTGGCAGGCCATAGACTGAAGAAGTCCTCTGGATGGGAGACAAAACGTTTCGCACTTAAAGAAACTGGTCAAGATGACACGATTTAACCTTTTTTGTTATGTCCTGCATGTTTTAATCAAACACTTCTAACATCAGGGAAGCAGCTGGATTTTATTGTCATTTCTGTCTACCAGAACCTGTTGAGCAGATTTTTACACAAAGTTTTCAACAACAGAGGAGATACTTTAAAGAAGCTCTGAATCACTTTAATCATAAAACGTCATCCCATAAATAAGAGGTCAATCTATGTTAATGTGGAAAAATACATGTATTGAAAATAATCTTTTGTTACTTTCCTCCACAGAGTTAAGAGCACATTCACTCAGCTGATCCATGCTGGACTTTGAATTTACAACTGTGGAGACACTGCTGAGTTTTGTCAACTGAAATAAATGTTTATTTGTTTGTAGCTGAGAGTTTATTGTTGTGATGGGACACCAGGGGCTACTATATAGAGAAATTTCTCTCTTCTTCCTCTCACTAATAAAAGCTTGATATACGTAGATGATCAGAAGACAGAAATAATTCAACAGTTTTTCAGGTATTAATGTGTAAACTTGATCATTTGCACTGTAGAAACATTTTGTTTCAGCACATTGACAAATACAAAATGTTCTTGTCATTGAGAAATATAAGAAAAAAATGTCAACAAACAAAATGAACAAAAAGACTTTTAGAGTTTTAACAAAGTTTTAGACATCTACAGCTCCTTACATGGAGAAAAACTCAATTTATAAATTTAAATACTGATTTTTTTTCATACACCACAGTTAGTCATGGACTTCCTCAGGGTTCAGTGATTGAAACAATACTCTTTAATTTATAAATGCTTCCAGAAGGTAAAATTATTAAACAGAATGGGATAAATTTTCATTAATATGATTATGATACACAGTTATATTTGTCCATGAAATCCATCCATCCATAAGTTTTCTTCCACTTATCCAGGGTTGGGTCGCGGGGGTAGCAGCCTAAGTAGGCAGGCCCAGATTTCCCTCTTCCAAGCCACTTGGGCTAGCTCCACTGGGGAAATCCCAAGGCATTCCCTGGTCAGACGAGAAACATAGTCCCTCCAGCATGTCCTGGGTCATCCTCTGGGTCTCCTGCCAGTGGGATGTGTTTGGAACACCTCAGCAGAGAGGCGTCCAGGAGGCATCCTAAACAGATGCTCAAGGCACCTCAACTGGCTCCTCTCGACATGGAGACGCAGTGGCTCTACTCTGAGTCCCTACCGGATGACCGAGCTTCTCACCTTATCTCTAAGGGAGAGCCCAGACACCCGGCTGTGAAAACTCATTCTGGCCGCTTGTATCCGTGAGCTCGTTCTTTCGGTCACAACCCAAAGCTCATGACCATAGATGAGGGTAGGAACGTAGATTGACCGGTAAATTGAGTGCTTTCCCTTTTGACTCAGCTCTCTCTTCACCATGACAGACTGGTACAATGCCCGCTTCACTGCAGATGCCGCACCTATCCATCTCTCACTCCATTTTCCCTCATTCGTGAACAAGACCCCGAGATACTTAATCTCCTCCACTTGGGGTAGTCCCTGACCCGGAGAAGTTTACCCTTTTCCGGCTCAAGACCATGGCCTTGGATTTGGAGGAATTGATTCTCATCCTGGTCGCTTCACACTCAGCTGAAAACCGCTCCAGTGAAAGCTGTAGATCACAACCTGATGAAGCCAATAGGACCACATCATCTGCAAAAAGCAGATAAATGATCCTAAGGCCACCAAAATGGATACCCTCAACACCTTGGCTGCACCTAGAAATTCTGTCCATAAAAGTTGTGAACAGAATCTGTGACAAAGGGCAACCTTGGCAGAGTCCAACTCTCTCCGCGAACTGGCCCGATTTACTGCCGACAATGATAACCAAGTTCTAACACCAGTCATACAGGGACCTAACAGCCCGTATCAAAGGGCCTGGTACCCCATACTCCCCGACTACTCCCCACAGGGTTCCCCGAAAGACACGGTTGAATGCTTTGTCCAAGTCCACAAAGCACATGTAGACTTGTTGGACAAACTGCCATGCACCTTCCAGGACATTGCTGAGGGTGTAGAGCTGGTCCAGTGTTCCATGACCAGGACAAAAACCACACTGCTACTCCTGAATCTGAGGTTCGACAATCCGACAGACCCTCCTCTCCAGAACCCCTGAACAGACCTTACCAGGGAGACTTAAGAGTATGATCCCCCTGTAGTTGGAACATACTCTGTGGTCCCCCTTTTTGAATAGGTGGACCACCACCCTGATCTGCCAATCCAGGGAAACTGCCCTCGATGTCCACACAATATTGCAGAGTTGCATAAGCCAACACAATCCCACAACATACAGAAGCTTAAGGAACTCCAGGTGAATCTCATCCACCCCCCGGGTCCTTCCACCGAAGAGCTTTTTAACCACCTCGGTGACCTCAACATCAGAGATTGGAGAGCCTGACCCAAAGTCCCTAGGTTCCTTTTCCTCAGTGGAAAATGTGCTGGTGGGATTGAGGAGGTCTTCGAAGTACTCTGCCCACCAACCCACGACATCCCTTAGTTGAGGATGGTGGACCAGAATCACCTCAAAGCTGTATGGAAGTCATTCTCCATGGTCTGTCTGAACTCCTCCCACACCTGAGTTTGGCCTCAATGACCACCCGAGCTGCATGTTTTTTTTTTTTTTTTTTTTTTTCCCCAGTCCTGTCCGGCATTGTGACACTTAGAATTATTGTCTAAGTGTCAAAGTGATGCCCAACAGATTTACTTTCACAAGCAGAGCATTATGGCTGGCCTTAATGCTCCACTTGATATATAAATTAAATTTTATTAGAATTTGCTTTGGGTTTGTTTCAGATGTAATGGGTATGGGGATGAAAAACAAAGAAGATAACAAAGCAGAAAAGTGAGAAAAGGGTTAAAAAGTAAAGAAGGAGATAAGAATAGAGGAGAGAGAGAGAGGGATAAAGAGAACACAAATCAACATCCTTGAAGTCTGCCTCTAGACCTGTGGAAAGAAAAATAAAACAAAAACAAGGCAAAACTGAGAACCCACAACAACAAACGCCATATATAATGATACTTATAACATCATTAGAAAGTATTTTATACAGTACATGGTAATACAAGATATATTTATTGGTCTCCACAACACAATTGAGTGTGTATCTGATAAACACCTGAATCTAAACACCTGTGTGAGCATGCTTGTCACTATGAGGTTTCTCCATAAAAATGTTCAATAGTGGATGTGGGGACCCACAGACCTAACCCCACAGGACACAATGGCATCACAGAGAAGACCGGAACCACAGAGACACAGTGGTCCCCAAGCCCGGAACTCCAGGAGTCCCCCAACAGGGACACCCGCATCCCCCAGAGAGAGAAGCAAATGGAAGCCCCGGGAAATCCCCAGCAACCACAATGCAGAAACCCCAGGAGGCTGCAGCGATGAATCCACAGGCCCCGCCGGCAACCCGCCCCTCCAGAGTAGATCCGGCCATGGACACCGAGCCCCGAGTCCCGAGGTCGTACCACCCTCCAACAGAGGCCCGACAGAGCCAAGGCACACAGGCCCCGGCAGGCAACCACCAGGGCGGGCCCGCACACACCCCACCACCCAGTCCCAGCTGCTGAGAGCTGCCAATGCACGGCGGCAGGGGAGCCCACCACCGGAGGGGAGCATGACAGGTGGAAGTTGACCCCACATTAAATGGGGGGCCAAAATGGATCCAAGAGAGGGGATCACCTAAAACAACCCGAAACATAAACAGGCACACAGAGACAGCCTGACAG